CCGCGCGGGCCGGCGCCGGGGGGCGGGGCCGCGGCGGCTGTGTCTGCGCCTCGCTGCCGCCGCGCTCGCAGACGCCGGGAACATGGCGGCGGCGGAGCCGGCGGTCCTGGCGCTGCCCGGCGGCGGCGGCGTGGGCGCGGGGGCGCCGTCGGGCGCGGTGCCGGTGCTCTTCTGCTTCTCCGTCTTCGCGCGGCCCTCGTCGGTGCCGCACGGTGCGGGCTACGAGCTGCTCATCCAGAAGTTCCTCAGCCTGTACGGCGACCAGATCGACATGCACCGCAAATTCGTGGTGCAGCTCTTCGCGGAGGAGTGGGGCCAGTACGTGGACTTGCCTAAGGGCTTCGCGGTGAGCGAGCGCTGCAAGGTGCGCCTCGTGCCGCTGCAGATCCAGGTGGGTCCTGCGGAGACGGCGCGCCCCGCCGCTCCTCCCTGTCCCCGAGCGGTCCCGCGCCGACCCCGTCCCTGCTGCGCTCCTCAGGTGCCCGGAGCCGCCCGCGCGCTGGGCCCTGCGCGCCTGGCTGAGTCGGAAGGGCCGCCCCGCTGTCCCTGGCCTCGGGGAACGTGCTGTCCAAAGGTGACGGTCACCAGCTGTGCCCGGCGGGGCGGGGGCCCCGCGGCGGGTCTCGGCGTCCGCGAACGCCCCCACGCGTGTGGCCCTCAGCCTGCCGCGTCCGCTGTGTGCCGGGAGCAGCTCCCAGCCTCCTGCGCGACCGAAGAGCTGCGCTGTAGCTACTGTGCTTTTGTCTGGGGTTATAGGGAAGCAGAACGGGGAAAAAGAGATTGTGAGGGTATTGGTCTTAGGTTTGTTTCCCGGAGTTGTGTTAGCCACTTGCGGAAACGCAAACTTGTAGGAGTCAAATCCTTTCCCCTCCTCTTCCCAGGCTCTCAGGTCCTTGAGTTTAGGCGGCACCCCACCTTAAGTGCAATCACCATTTGCTTAGCCTCCTCCCAGTCATACATTTGTATCCCTTACACTGAAAAAGACTTTCGACTCCAGGATGGCAGTAGCCTCTTAAATACCCAACTTAAGCTAGAACTCAGTTCCTGGTCCTGCTGGCTGAAAGTTACTATACCCGAGGATTACTTAATAGCATTTTATTTATTTGTTTGGTTTTTAAAAGCCGTGCTCTAATACTGGACAGAACGATCTTCTGTCCTCTTAATGATCAGAGGATTCGCTGGAGAATTTGCATTTTTCAAAGGAAAGAACATAAGGTATAATTTGGGAACTACAATGTCAGTATTTTTTCTTTAGCTGAGAAACCGATAAGCCATTTCTCTTTTGGAGATCAAACTGAAATGTGGCATTTGGGGTTAAAGGGGATTTCAATACTCAAGTGTTATTTTCTTTCTTTTTTTTAAAAAAATTTATGGATACATAATAGTTGTACATATTTATAGGGTCCATATGATATTTTGATGCAAGCATACAATGTATAATGACCAAATCAGGTTAATTGGGATATCTGTCACCTCAAACATTTATCATTTCCTTGTGTTGGGAACATTCCACATCCACTCCTTTAGTTATTTTGAAATATACAGTAAATTATTGTGAAGTAAATTGACCTGTTGTGCTCCTGAACAGTAAATGTTATTCCTACATTCTGACTGTATTTTTGTACCCATTAACAGTGTCATTTTCTGAGGATTATTCCCAAGTTTTTTTTCAGCTGTAGTTGGCAGATAAATTGGTGAATTTTCCCATTACCCCAACACCTATGCCAGAAGCATCCAAAGCAGGTACTTTAACCTGGATAAAGTTCCTGTGTTCAGAGGACAAAGTCTGTGAGATTACACTATCCACCCCTGGAGGGCCAGGAAGTGGGTAGATAGTCATCAGATACCCCAGGATTCGACCTGCTGCCCTGGTGCTTAAGATTCCCCACTTTTATGCCTTCTGGTGTTTTCATGTCTGACACCTCTGTGCAGCCCTCCTTGTCAGTCTGTTTAGATTACTGCTGCCAAAATACCTAAGATGTTGGATACACCTTTGATAAATACATTTATAAAGGCAAGAGTCCAAATATTAGCTGAAAAGGTCTGGAGCTGTACTGAGGATACAGACTTCTCTGTGAAGCATTTCCTGTCGTGGCTGGGAGGGTGGCAGGGCTCTTACTTAAGGCAATGACGTGCCAAACTAGGGCCCCAGCGTCCTCCGCAAGGTCCTCCCCCCACCAAGGTAGGATATTTATATTTCAAAAATTTCAAGATCTTGGTCTGACAACTCTTTTTAATTAAACATTCTAGAAATTAATGTAAATGTATATGCCTGAAATGTCTTGTACATTCTCAAAAGAAATTATATAATCCTGGCTACTTGTGGCTTTTGAAGTATTTTGCTTGGTATAGGAGATTATGTATAGTTAATTTTTTGTGGTGATGTTTAAAATAAGAATTATAATAGCAATACTTTGTTCCATCTTTTAAAAATGTTATTTTTTCACCGAATAGTACAAGAATTCTTAAAAATCAGTTGTATATTTTACTCTTTATATACTTTATATTTTTAAATAATTAAAAATATTTTTCTTTTATATTATCTCATTTTACTAATTATAATACTTTGACTTTTCCAGCCAGATGCCTCTCCTAGCTTTGAAGTAGATAATGTAAAGGGATATATATAGATACTATATACTTTCTGATACCTATTTATAGCTATATAAGGAGGTATATACACACATACACACTTGTGTATGTTCTCTAAGAAGAGAATGGAAATATATTGCTTTTCATGACTACCAGACTATATTTTTTGGAACCCAACTGTGTAATCCTAGAGACATGGACGTGTTTTGGTTAGAAGAGACCATAGAGTCCGTTCCACAGATGGGTGAGTGGCAGCTGTCAGTGCCTGGCACAGGGAATGCAAACTTGGAGTCCATTCTTGTTCCTTACCTTATAAGCCAACTCTTTCACTTCTAGGAAGAGCAGAACATACAGAGGTAGAGAGGTTAGGAATTTGCCCCAGGTTACATGACAAAGCGTGTGTAGATCTTCACAGCCAACCAGAGAATTCCTATTTTCATGTTCAATGAGTATATTGAGCAGTCTGGAAAACAAGCCACAAACTTGAGCTTTTATTCGTTCATTGGTGTTGATGCTGCTCATGGTTCTTTGGAATAAATGCCTGCCACTTAGGAAGACATGGAGGCCCTCCTGTTAGTCGCACTATGGGAAATGGTAGGCCCCTTCTCTGAGCTGGGTCAGGGAGCACAAGTTTGGCCACGTGTAGTCCATTGCGTAAATAGCTTGCTTTATTATTTCCTCAGACTTCGGCTCTGGAGCCTCAGTGCCCCAGTCTCACATAGTATTATTTTGGAATGTATTCTTAATTTGCATAGGGGCCTGAGTTTGCCTTCATGCTTATTCTGTTAATGGCTGGTGACCATGTGAAACACAGTGGCTGCTTAATGCCCCACTGCATCTGTGGTGAGTTAGCGGTTCTAAGGGAACTGATCTTTAAGACACTCGTTCCCAGTGTTAGGCTATGGTAACTTTTTAGCGTCTTCTTTTCTTAAATATTCTGTCAAAGTGTCTGGCTGTCTGCTGACAGCTCAGGTAGCTGAAGGCATAGCTCATGTTTCATGCATGGGGTATGTGTCAGCAACTTTGTCAAATGCTTGAAGTCTGATGCATTTTGAGACACAGGGGAAATAATGTAAATGAGAGGATTGTATAGTGGGAATTCAGGTCATTTTTATGACTTACAAGTTTTAATTTTTCGGAAGGTATTTTCTAAGTTTAAATTAATGGAAACATTTAACTGTGGAAACTCATGTAAATCTGACATCATACCACTACCAGTGCATTTTCCAGCCTGTGACCCGGGAAGACGGGACCCACGCGGAAGAGAGGAGGAGACGGACGTGTGAGAGTGAGGGAGGCCAGTGAGGGGGTGTTCCTTCTGACGGGGGCAAGGGCTTTGGCAGCTTTGTGTGGCCAGAGGGTAAGGGCTTCCCTGGGAAGGTTATTTGGACCTTTTCCTGAGATGGGTAATTGGGAGGGGATTCTGCTGCAGCTTTCATTTTCTTGGAACTTTATTACTATTATTATTATTAATATTTTAAACAGGGGCGTGGGAATTTTATAGCTAGAAGAAGCTGAAGAGTTCATGGTGGGAGGGGAGGGAAGGCAGGGGGAAAGGAATCTGGCCCGCCTTTGTCTTGCTCGTTTGAAGGTGGTGGTTTTTGATTTCAGGACCTTTGCTGCAGGAGTGTGGCAAGAAGGCCAGGTAGGCGAGCTAATGCTCAGAGGTCTGAGAAACAGGCATGGTACGTCCTGGGCGTGGGTGTGCTGTCAGGGGCACTGAGAAAAGACTGCTGGTCCTGAGGTTGTGGGTATTGTCTCCACCCCATTGGTTTGATGGGGGAAGGGAGGGGGAGGGTGTCACTTAAAAAAAATATGTAACATTCTGGAATAATACCCAAAGCATTGCGTACCTTTTGCTCCTTGTGAATACATTAGAGGATACCTATAAATAAACTGTGTTTCAGAGTAGGAGCCATGATCTGCATCTGAATTGTTTTTCTTTCATTTACTTAGCCAATCCTAACGTAGATTCAGATGTCCTTATGTTCCTGCCTCTGCCCAGCTTCACCTTCACCCCAGGCAGAGGCACAGTCTAAGCAATCCTTCCATCCTTGGTCTCGGGTGGGGGGAGACAGCTGGCCTGCCTTCAGGAGTGAGAAAGCTCGTACTTTAATTGATAAGCCACAGTTGTCACCTTATGCCAGTGACATCAATGTTTGCAGTAGGTGAATATGTTGTAAAAATAAGAGCAAAATAAATATCCCCTTGCAGCTTAAATTAAAAAGCCCCAAATGTGTTTCTCCAGGAACAAATTATGTCTTGGTAACGTGGTAAGTCTGGTGACCTCTGGAAATCCACTTTATGAATTACTTTCCTAATTCTACAGACTATGTTATCATAACAAGTTCTGCAGTATTTCTCTACATATATTTATAGGTTTCTGCAGGGATCATAATAGTAAATATTTAACCTCATTAGAGTTAAGTTTTTTTTTTTTTTAACATATGCTGAGTTTTAGAGTGTAGTGTTTCATAGATTAGGAATGTCACAATAGCCTAAGACATTTGTTGATTGATTACATGAAGCTCATTTAAGCCTTGAGATAGCCCCATGAGGTAGATACTATTTTTCTTGCTGTGTTTCAGATAAGAAAACTGCGTTTGGAAATGTTAATGATTTACCCTAGATCCCGTAATTGAAATTAGTGAAATTGAGATTTGGACTCAGATTCTAATGCCTACCGGCTTGTGCTGTTTAGGGAATCCTTGTAACCTGAGGAAGGCAAATCACAGACTTCTGCTTTAAGTGACTTGACATCAGAGCAAGGCCTTACTCTAGCTGTGGTAATCTGATTTCCTTGGAAACACTTCGGAGTGAAATAATGATATCCCAGACCCCCTTTTGGACTCCCTCCCAAGCGGATCATTGCTATTTTGTGACTCTAACAGACTACCAAACTTTTTTAAACATCACCTTTACAGTTCTGTGCTTTAATCATTCCTAAAGATATACAGATTACTCACCGTAGTAGTTTGCTAGGAGCTGCTGTAACAAAGTGCTGCAGACTGAGGGGCTTAACCAACAGAAATTTTTCTCACAGTTCTGAAGGCAAGAAGTCCAAGATCAAGATGTCAGCAAGGAGCATCTGTCCCGTGCCTCTCTCCTAGCTTCTGGTGGTTGCCTGGCAATCTTTGGTCACCCCAATCTCCACCTTGGTGTTCACAAGGCATTCTCCTGTGTGCATGTTTGCCCCTGTCTGTATGTCCCCTTTTTATAAGGACACCAGTCACAGTGGTTTAGGTACCCGCCCTACTTCAGTATGGCCTTATCTTAACTAATTATATCTGCACTGACCCTTTGTCCAAATAAGGTCACTTTCTGAGGTTCTAGGGGATAGGACTTCATTATATGAATTTGGGAGGACACAATTCAACACGTCACTCCCCATGCATTACTTTTATGGAGAGAATAGAGCTGGTGTACAGTTTATCACGAAACCGGGCCAGCTACCGTGTACGTGCCTGTCTTTAGTAACCAGGGGGACTGACAGAGCCCTTTGCAGATGTAGCGGTCATTGCTGGGCATTGGTCAGAGCACGTGTGGTGAAGAAGGGTAGGTGCTGGCATGATGACAGTAATAATGGGGCGGGTGAGAGAAAGTCTTTTGAATATGAAATCGAAGGTCAAATCCCAGCTGTGACAGTTCTTAAGAGAGTAGACAAAACATTTATACTCGAATCTCTTAAACTTTTGTTTGAGCAAGTCATTGGCTGTGATCAGCTTTTTATATTTAAATATATATATTTGTATATTTATCATGTGCATGTATAGGAATGTGTAGGTACATAGATATATGAAAGTGTGCAGATACACACACATATATTTCTATGTGATTTCTTCATGCTTCTAGAATATGCAGTAATCTGCAATTGCCACACTTTTTATTAATACTGCTGGTGAAATTTGGTCATGTCCATTTTTAATTTGCTGTGGCAGGATTGGCTGTCTTGCAGTTGTGACATACAAATATTTGACTACTGGCCATATTTTTAGTTGTCTAAAAGATTTTGGTTTAAGAGAAATTTATGAGTCAAAGTAAGAAGTGTCTGAGTTATAGAGTTATATCATTTTAACAGCCTGTTGGAATTCATGTGGATTTGGGGTGGGGGATTGGGTCAGACATGGTTAGAATTTTTCAGTTTGCTTTTGGTAGCCTCAAAACCTCCTTTCTGGCTTGTAAGGGATGAAGATTATTTCTAAAGTAGCATCTTTTTGCCAACTACCATAGCATAGAGAGACCATTTTTTTAAATTAACCTTTTTATTTTAGACAATTTTAGATTTACAACAAAATTGCAAAGGTAGTACAGAGAATTCCTGTATTTCTGTACCCAAATTCCCATGTTGTTAACATCTTACATTACTGTGGTACATTTGTCACAACCAAGGAACCAACATTGTTACCTTACTGTTAACTAAACTTCACACTTTATTCAGATATCACTGGCTTTTCCCTAGTGTCCTTTTTCTATTCCAGGAACCAGCCCAGGATACCAATTACATTTAGTTGTCATGTCTCCTTTGGCTCCTCTGGGCTGTGACAGTTTCTGAGACTTTAATTGTTTTTAGTGACCTTGACAGTTTTGAGGTGTATGTCAGATATTTTGGTAGAATGTCCCTCAGTTTTGGTTTGTGTGATATATTTCTCGTGGTTAGACTGGGGTTGTGGGATTTTGAGAGGAAGATCCTGAAGGTCATTCTCATCACATCAAATCAAGGGTGCATATTATCGACACGACATTGGTAATTATATTAATTTTGATCACCAGACTGAGACACGTCTGCCAGATTTCTCCACGCTAAGTTACTGTTCCCCTCTATACTCTCAAGAAGCAAACTACTAGGTGCAGCCACATTCAAAGGAATATGGAGAGTGAAACAGAGATACTTCCCACAGCACATCAGGGGCATGTGGAGAGTGTAAAAGGTAGAGCATTTTCGATTCACTAAGTTATAACCAGTCTTTGCATATAAATGTGCCTTGCCTCTGTAGTCTCTGTGGTTTCTTCTTAGTTTACTGAAAGTTTATGGATGATGAATTCTTGTACTAGAAAGGTTTTGCATAGTGGTGAGGATTTCAGGGCTGCATTTTGTGACCTCCTGGGTTTGTGTCTAATACGACATACATCTGATGTGGTCTCTTGTTCGGAATAGGAGACCTCACAGCTAAAATGAGGTGCAGGGAAGCACCAAGTAATGAGAACTCCCAGAGCCTGCAAGTCTGTATGTTTAGGATTTCTGGGTAGGTAAAACTTTACTCCTTTAAATGGGCTTACTTAAAATATTTTGACCGGTTTATATTGTAGTCCTTCTGAAATACTATATAATTTAACATTTTTAAAATTAACATGTTAGAATGATGTTTTCCTAACTTATAACAGCTTGTTACTTCTTTACCAGAGGCTTAGACTATAGAACGATTTGCGTTTTTGATCTGTTTTTACTGTATTTTGAATCTTTTCTGTTTCTTGCTGCTGTCAGTTTGCCTGCCCCCAGCAATTACTTTTCTGATTTGCTGTTTATAACCTTTTGTGAATTTAGAATCCAGACAACCAAAGTTTTTAGGAATGTATACAGTTAGTCAATATAGTCTGAGATAGGATCTGAGAGCTGGAATCCTCAGCAAGGGTAAGCCCTAAACGTGTTAGTTAACGGCCACCACCACACTTCCGTAACTGCCCCGGGTTGCATTTTGCACCCTCGCTGCGTGTCCCACCTGTTGTAGAATGGTGAGGTTGGCTGAGTTGCATTACTGTTATTTCAGATAGGCCAGTTGAAGACAAACTGCTTTATATAGTATGCCCGAAACACATTGTGAATGACTAAGAACCCGTGATTCACATTTATAAAAAGAAAATATGTAGATTTGAGTGTTTTGAACCATTTAATGTTTACTGAGAATTTAAAATACGTAGTCAGAAATAAATAGTGACTGGTTTTTAAAATGGCATCCTAAATTCACAAAAATTTGCCTTCCTTATATATACATACCATCCTCACTGATTCTGAAAATGACCAAAATGGAGGCATAATACTTGCATTAAAAAATTAAGTAAGGAAATGACCAAAGCTAGGATATCTAATGCTTGAATCTTTATTTTAACCACACTTTATTGGAAATGTAGGAAAACCCTATACATAGCATTAGAATTATAGGTGGCTCTCACCTTCTAACATGAATTTGGTGTTATACTGTATATGGTTTATCAGTACATATCTAGAGAGTCAGTACCAGAGGGAGATTAAAGTGCCAGAGTCTCTCAGACCAGGACCTAGATCAAATAAAGTACAAGCCGATTAGAGCAGTTATATCATTAAGGATAAAAGGTTTTTTTAATGATTCGTTTTTATATAGTAATTGTTTCCTGAGAGTCTGCCACGTGCAGACATACTAAGGCAGGGTGTCCGGCTGTGCTGGTGGCGAAGGCACCACCTTGTCATTGGGACGCAGACTCCTCCAGACTGTTATTAATAATTGTTATCAGTGGGTGGGTTTAAGGGGAGCCAAACAGGATAATTACAGGGGAGATGCACTTCATTTAACCGTGATGAAGTGCCTGCATGTTATTTCTTTGCATTTTTTTGAACTCTAAAAGTTATTCTTGAGAATAGCATCTTAATATTTCTGTCTTGATGATACCAGTAATTCTGGATTTGTTTCTGTCTGGTTTTTTGTTGTTGTTGTTGTTTAGTTTTTATGTTCCCTAGTCTTCTGCCATAGATTATTTTAAATTCTGCTTTTAGCACTCATAAGCAGTACTGTCACCAAATTTAAGTTTTTTACTATTGTGACTTTTTTTATGATTATAAAGGAAACATGTTTTTAAATAACGTTCAGGAAATGTGTTTAAATAACATTTGGAAAATATAAGAAAGGTATGAAGAAAAAAATTCCCAAAGCCCCAATTATATAACCACTGTTAATATTTTCAAATACTGTATCTGCATTATATTCTAAACATTTTTTCTTGGATGTTACAAATTCTTTGAGAACATATATACATACGTGTTTTTTTAATTGGCTAAAAAATGTTTTGTTATGTGAATATGTTAAAATTTGTTAAATCATTTCTGTGTTTTTGGCCCTTGGTTTATTTCTGATCTTCATTATCGAAAGCAATTCAGAGATCATCTTTTCAGAGATCATAATTTTTTTCCTGCAATTCAGATACTTTATTTTGGGTAATAGTTGTAGAAATTGACTTACTGGATCAAACAGTAGGAAGATTTTTCTTCCTTAGTGACCTCCACTGAAAATAAATGTCATTGTATAACAAGTGCTAAATCATTCTTTTTTCTTTTTTCTTCAGCTCACTACCCTGGGAAATCTTACACCTTCAAGCACTGTGTTTTTCTGCTGTGATATGCAGGAAAGGTTCAGACCAGCCATCAAGTATTTTGGGGATATTATTAGTGTTGGACAAAGATTGGTATGCTTGTTTATTTTTTCCAGTTTGCTCTAGCATGATATACCGTCATATATACACACATATGTACATTGCTCATTCTTTTTGTGTCTGGTTATTGTTTCAGTTGCAAGGGGCCCGGATTTTAGGAATTCCAGTTATTGTAACAGAACAATACCCTAAAGGTCTGGGAAGCACTGTTCAAGAAATTGATTTAACAGGTGTAAAACTGGTACTGCCAAAGACCAAGTTTTCCATGGTGTTACCAGAAGTAGAAGCAGCATTAGCAGAAATTCCTGGAGTCAGAAGTGTTGTATTATTTGGAGTAGAAGTAAGTACCTGGTATTATGTTTTGAGCACAATATCATTTATAGAAAACTGGATATTTCCAGAATGCAGTTTGGGATGTAGAATGCCATGTAGGTGATGATAGTGATGGAAACAGCCACCATGTATTAAGTGCTCGGTATTTCCATGGCACTGACCTATGCACTTTGTGGCTGTTAACTCATTAAGCGCCTTCCTATCACAAATGAGGAAACTGAAATACAGAGATGTTATGTGATTTGCCTAGGGTTGGACAGCTAGTAAGGGATAGAGCTGGATTTGAATCTAGGCCGACTGATTCTTGGGCTTATACTTTTAACCACTGCCTTCGGAACATATTTTTATCAAGGCATTATTTTTATTTCTATATTATAGGATTTCACTTAGGTCATATTTTTGTGCTAGTAAAACCTTAGAGGTCATGCAGTTCATTGTCCTTCAAATTTGAATCATATACATATCCTTTTATAAGAAAAAAATACTCATGGATTTCCTGATGCTGATTTCAACTAATTTATTCCTAGCTTTTAAACAACTATAAAACTAAAATTTTAAAAATTATGAACAAAATTGTAAAAACAAATAAAAATAATATAGTTATGATATTTTAAAAGTAGATTTTATAGTGGTGGGTTTTGATAGTAGAACTATACTGGCTCAGATTTAGATGTACATTAAATATTTCTGTATTTGAGTGCAATAATGACAGTATGAAGGAAGCCTATCTGTATAAATATGTGAAAGCAAATGCTGTTGCTGGCTTTGCCCTTTTTTTTTGCTTGTTCATCATAATTAGACCTTATGCTTAATCAAAATTGTCTTTGGGCATTCCTCCAATGCTAATTTTAATGAGGTGTCAGTTGGTAAGTCTCCAGAATGCTCTAGTCTTGTGAAGATAAGGTTGACATGGCATTATTGAAATGTGCTTTCATTGGTTGTATACATAACTCAGTTATTGTTGAAGCGTGTTTTTACCTATATTCTTTGTTAATGAATTGTTGCGAGTTAACACCTACAAAGACGGGATGTGTATAAACATTTGCTGGTGATGTGAACTGGGTATTGTTTGCTCGTGTCATCATTTATTTTTAACTTGGCCTATCTTCACTACTGGGTGCCTTGCAATCACTCGGTTTTCCCACTACTCTCTGTCTGCAGTGCTGCAGGCTCCTTTTGCATGTTGGGCACTTGGCGTGAAGGCAGAAGTAAATCCAAATGCAAGTGGCTCCAGAATTGAGTGGTGGTAGTCAGCTTTATGAAGGTCATCCAGGTGACACGGAGAAAAATGTTTGAAAAATTCTCACAGAACTCCAAGAACATGTTTAAGGTCCCTAGTATCAGACCTTGATGTCACTCAATGCTTGATTTTACAAATGAGTAATCCAAAGCCAGAGATGCTGTTTTATGTCAAGATTACCTAGCTAATCGGAGGCAAAGCTAGATGTAGAGCAAGGTTCTTATATATGCGGTGCTCTTTCTGCGTTATCATGTTGTTGCACCTTTGCGAAAATGCTTCTAGTTTACCGTATCATTACATGTGCTTTTTTACTTTCCTGCTAGACTCATGTGTGCATCCAACAGACTGCCCTGGAGCTAGTTGGCCGAGGAGTCGAGGTCCATATTGTTGCTGACGCCACGTCCTCGAGAAGCATGATGGACAGGATGTTTGCTCTCGAGGTGATTGTCCTGCTTGAAAGGAAGTCATTCGTCGAGCTTTCCGAGTGAATAGGAGAGTACTGGATTAGTAATGAAAGGTTACCTCCTAAATTTGAGCTTGGTCTGACGCTATCAGACTCATTGATTTTATACTGGCTAACTTTGAGGTCTCATTGCCATATCCTATTTTATATACTGTCTCCTCCCTAGATCTGGACTTCAGAGTTGCCCAAAGCTCCTTTACATCTTTGTCCCGACTGTGCTTTCATGCATAGACTAAGAGAGAGATTCCAAGAAGCCTAACCTGAACCGGTTAGAAGTTTGCAAATTGAAAACAGCTCACCTGGGTTTAACTCAGCCAAGATCTAGCCAAAAACCTGGGCAGAGCGGGCCTAAACCTGGTTCAGCCTCATCTAGTGGGCCCTCTGTGTCCGTGGGTTCCACATCCATGGATTCAACCAACAGTGGATCAAAAATATTCAGGGAAAAAGAATTGATAAAAATAACATAAAAAAGATATAACAAATATTTGCATAGCATTTGCGTTGTATTAGGTATTATAAGTAATCTAGAGATCATTTAAAGTATACAGAAGGGTGTGCATAGGTTATAGGCAAACACCGTGCCATTCTATATCAGGGACTTGAGCAGATTTTGGGATCTTGGCAGTAGGGTGGGGGTGGGGGTTTCTAGAACCAGTTCTTCATGGATACTGGGGACAACTATATTAGGTTTCTTCAGACTTGAAATTTTGGAACTAGGGAGTGTGTTACTGACTGGACACCATTCACATACAGTATTTCATAGCTCTCTGACACTGGGTGTCACAGTGTCCCGCAGTCAGGGAGTCAATGCTTCTCTGTCATTATTGCCTAACAGTAGTCTGTCTTAAGCATTTTCTATTCCAAGACTGTTAAAAAGCAAATTACCACGTAATCTTGGGAAACATTCACTCCATGTTGGATCTCTCCCTCTCTCTCTCCTTCTTTCGTACTTAATTCTAATTCTGTAATGATTTTAGAGTAATGTACATGTGGATTTAATAGCAGGATTCTTTAACTGTTTATTTTTTATTGAGAATGAGAAATACAGGTTTTTGGTTTTTTATTTTTTGAGATCCTCCAGTGTTCCATGTACGAGCTGGCCTGTGAACTGCTTTCTCTGCTGGATTGCGAAGTCTTCTCTTTCTCGGCAAGATTGCTAAGTCATCTCTTTAGCCAAAAGGTTCTCCAGGGTGGTAAGGTGGGACGCATGGGAAAGGGGAGGCCTTGTCAGAGGAGAGAGAAGAGCGAAGGGCCGTGGGGAGAGCGAGGCAGAGACAGAGGTCGCTGGCAGCAGCAGTTGTCCGAAGGCCCTGGCTGGCCATCCCTTCTCCGTTATTCCTGAAGCAGGGAGTCCCACACTGGGATTATAGGTAGAAACAGTTTTAGTTTTGTTAAACTATTTTCCAGTTTATTTAGACTGTTGGGTTCTCCGGTCACTAGGTACTAAGTCTCAGCAAAGATCTTTAAGCCATGCTTACAGTCATGAATTAATCAACTTCCACTTTTCAAGTTTCCTTAGTAACCCGAACTTAAACACTTCTGCCGCCAGGTCCCCGCTGCCCCAGCAAGCAGCTCTTTTCTTCTGTGGGTGAACCTTTATTACGATGCCGAGGTCCAGAACCTTGGAAGTACAAAACTAAAATCATACAGACAAAACAAAACCTGACTTGCTTGTAAAGACATTTGAAGGGCTTTTCTCCCTACATCCATGTAAGTTTCTTAGACATGTCCTATTATGGTATTTGTACAGAGAATTTCGATTGTTGGCAGTTCTGTCTTACCACCGAACTTGGAAACATACTTAGCTAATTACCACGGGAACCTCCTGCTCCGACACGCAGTGTGTCATCTTACGGATTAGGAGTCCGCGTAGTCGGGTGGGGATCGAGTGATGTGGGTGTGAATGCAGGGTCTCGTGTTTTGTAAGACTGTGCGCTTGAGCACGTTATGTCACCCCTATGCCTCAGATTTGTCATCAGTGAAACGGAAGTGGTCAAAGCAGCTATCTCGTGGGATTTTTGTGAGAGTGAAATGAGACGATGTATTGATGGCAGTTAGTACGGTGCTGACACAGTAAATACTGAAATGCCAGCTGCTGCTTTTTTTTTAATTGTTATGATTTGTTGTCTTCGTGAGGTTAGTCTTACCAGAAATGTATAAGAATATAACTTCCAAGACCCAAAAAAGACTAGTCCTGAGTTCCGAGAAGAGAAGGAAAGAACCTGTGGTCTGGGGTGGATTTAGAAGGGCCCGGAGTAGCCCGCATCGGCTGAGGTTCGAGAGTGAGGGTGGGAGGAAGAATGATCCTGGATCAGATCAGGTGGTGATGGGGAGGACCTGCCAGATCACAGACTTTTCCCCTTAATCTTATTAAATAATTTGATATGGAGGTGATTTAATTTGTCCCTAAATGTGGGGGACAAATGTTAAGTTTTTTTTTTCTATAACTATGTAAATTAAAATAGCATTGTGGTCAGCTCCCCTTCTACTTTATACCTTTAGAACATAACTGTTTAATTGCCAACTCTACCCTTATGGCCTATTAAGATTATTACACTAATAAGATTTATAGTTTACATTGTTGAAACTTCACTATGCCAGGATCTGAGGCATGGGCTTTATTCAATAAATGTTTTCTGAGCAGCTGTCCTCTGAAAGGCATTGTTTCTTTCAACTAATAACTGTACAGTAAATGCAGAAGAATATAGAATCAAACCCTCTCTTGAACTTGATGTCCTTGTGCTTCTGGGGAGTTTTAGTGTTGCTTGGAAATTTAATGGGTTTAGTCTTTTATTTCCCCCTCTCTGAAGCTTTCATGCCTTTGTGCACTTGCATTTTCAGGTTTGTGGGTCAGAGCAAACTTTCTTTTCCTTTGGCCTAGCTGGACCGGTTTGCAAGTGTAAGGGAAGAACTTCAAAAGCCTGGTGTACATGTACCCATGTGCATTAAACAGCTGCAGTTTTAATTGCCCCGTTTTTGGCCAGGAGAGACAGTGGGCTTGTGACCAGTATTGCCAGGCTGGTGGGCAGAAACCTGCCAGGTATATCTGGAAAGCTGCTGCTGTTCTTTCTGCTCAGCCACCTTTCCGGTTGGGGCAGGGCAGGCTCTGTGGGAGGGTCTGAGCCTGATCTAAAACCTTTGCAGATTGCTAAGCCGTGCCTTCCCCTGATACAGGTTCCTGGCTGGATGATTTTAAAACCCGATCAGTAATGGCTACATCTCAATCGTGACTCTAAGTAGTATTGTGTAGGTGTCATTTACTAAAATGTATTTCTGTGTCACACACATCCTACCCTGTCCCTGCCCTGGTGACCTGACTCTAGCATCACTGAGGCTTGTTGGGGCAGAATGGACCAGGCTTGGCTCAGTGGAGCACTAGGGAGGGCGGGGCGTGGTGGACCGGCTTCTTCCCGGGCACCAGATTTCCTCCTTGGATCTTGGAACAGATGCTTTCCCTCCTGCCTCACCGAGGAACTAGAGAGAGATGAGCGAGGGCTGGCCTTTGTTGGAGGTCGGAGTGTACAGTAAAGCATGCTCCCGGACACTGAACGTCTGCGATTCGGATCCACACCGGATCACTGCAAGTCCACTGAGTCGGCAGTGGGCAGGAGGGAGGGCAGGGCCAGGCAGCAGCTGGGCAGGGAGAGCGGGCTTGAATGGCCGTTCTTGTGCGTCTGCACCTGGTCTTACATTTGTTCTCCGCCTTCCAGTGTGAAGCAAGCACATGATCTTTGGACATTTTTGAAAGGTTTTGTATGATAGTCAGTTGACTAAAAAGCAAGGAGGAGGAAATTAGAATTTCCACGAGTCTAAAAAAAAACTCAGGGATAACTCGCCCCCGTAATTTTCCGAACTAATAGCCTTGTCCTCTCCCTTCCTACATAACTTCCTGTTGTTTTCCCGTTCCTAGAGAGCTGTGGTTAGCTGTTCTGCACGCTCTTCTGTACTGGTTGTTGAGGTTAAGGAGGTTGAGCTCATAGCCCCTGCTGTGTCCTCAGGGCTGGAAAGGAAGAGTCGCCAGCCGTGGAAAGGACGGCTCTGCTGCTGCCCAAGCACCTGAAGGCAGGTTTGCTCCCGCTTCCCAGCCATGTCCTGGCTGTGCAAGTGCTTCTTGGGTTTTTTCCTCTGACTTGCCTAGGAATGGGCTCTAACCACTTATTTTCTCAGGATTCTGGAGCGCAGCAGCCGTCCCCAGCCTTTCTGGCACCAGGGACAGGTTTCCTGGAGGACCAGTTTTCCAGGGGCAAGGCTGGGGCGGGGTGGGGAGGCGGGGCCCAGGCGGGGAGCTGCGGGGCTGGCCCGCGTGCTCACTTCCCGCTGTGCGTAGCCCACCGCCAGACGGGTCACAGAAGACAGTTTTTCCACAGAGGCGGGGCAGGGCTGAGCTCTGAGGCCGGCGCCTCACAGGCCTCCAGCCAGGGGTTGGGGACTGGGGGTTGGGGACCAAGGTTGTAGTGGATGCTTTTTGTGATAAGAGTTTGCCCGTTTTTCCCCTCAGGGTTTCTGATAACAAATACATCCAGAGAATTAATCTCTGCGGTAGAATTCCCTTCTCCCCCCTCCTCCCTCCCTCCCTTCCCTTGCCTTTCTCTCCCTCTTCCCCTGCTTGAGATTTCTCTCTTTAGTGACTAGTTCCACTGGAGCAGTGTGGCAAGGACATTCTTTGACCTGTCAGTGAACCACCCAAAGATCTTTGCTGAGACTTAGTACCTAGTGACTGGAGAACCCAACAGTCTAAATAAACTGGAAAATAGTTTAACAAAATTAAAACTGTTTCTACCTGTAATCCCAATGTGGGACTCCCTGCTTCAGGAATAACGGAGAAGGGATGGCCAGCCAGGGCCTTCGGACAACTGCTGCTGCCAGCGACCTCCGTCTCTGCCTCGCTCTCCCCATGGCCCTTCGCTCTTCTCTCTCCTCTGACAAGGCCTCCCCTTTCCCATGCGTCCCACCTTACCGCCCTGGAGAACCTTTTGGCTAAAGAGATGACTTAGCAATCTTGCTGAGAAAGAGAAGACTTCGCAATCCAGCAGAGAAAGCAGTTCACAGGCCAGCTCGTACATGGAACACTGGAGGATCTCAAAAAATAAAAAACCAAAAATTATATACTCTTGTCTAATGACTCTAAAGCGTTTATGATGGCAGCAGTGGCAGCGGCTCCATTGTCATCCGGTGGCACGTTCTTGAGCTTCACACGAGGCTCTTCTACCACTGTCATTTCTAGACAGGGGAATTCTTACAGGAAGAACTCACATGCTGTAGGTCAGATGTTTGGGGGCAGAAAGGAGAAATTAAGAATTGTTTTAATTCTTACAGTAATTTTAATGCAATTAAAAACTTTAGTTATATAAAATTGGATAATAAATTACTAAGGAAGTATTGTAGACAGGTACAGTTATATTCATAGCACAGTGTAATGGAGCTTTAGAAGTATTACTGTCCACCCCATTCTTCAATAAACAGCTACTAAATGCCAGGAGTGCCAAGCTTAACTGTTAATATGCATCATGATCTCATGTCTCGTTAAGCTACAGAGGGGGGAATGTGATCAGAGGTACCTTTTTTTTTTTTTAAATATCAGTAGTAGAAATAGAAATAAAATAGTTTAATAAATTTAGGAGTTAGTCAATAGCAGTCCTCATCTGAGTGAGTGAATGGGTAAGAGAGGAAGCACAAATCTGCAAGTGGCGTTGGGAAATAGCAATTGAAATTATCTAAATATTCAGTGATTGTCTGTCTCCCTCATCTCTCATGTGTACAGTTATCAGCCTTGATAATCCTGTTCCTGGCATATGCAGGTCAAACATTGGCTACCTGTTTCCTTTTACTTGTTTCTAATCTATTTTAGTAGTACTGAGAATAATCATATTAACCTTGTGGTGCGGCTAGTTTTGAAATCATCCCCATCCCTGAATTTGACGGCACAGCCGGGGGACCAGGGCTTTAGTAGAGGATGCTGATTATTGTGTCCCAGCACACTGTTGCTGTTTTAAAATAGTGTTCATTCCTGTGCTCACTTCTTGTTTTGTCCTTATTCTTTTTTTGAAGCGTCTTGCTCGAACTGGGATCATAGTGACCACGAGTGAGGCTGTTCTGCTACAGCTGGTGGCTGATAAAGACCATCCAAAATTCAAGGAAATTCAGAATCTGATTAAGGCGAGTGCTCCAGAGTCAGGTCTGCTTTCCAAAGTATAGGACATTGGAAGGACTGGTCTGCTACTAGGACTCTCAGCCCACACAAGCTCTTATCTCTACTAGAATTAAAATGTTAAGTCAAAATCGGCTCCTTTTTTGCGCCTCTTAGTGAAACTTAACTGGCTAGACCCTTTGGGTACCAGCATTTAGTTACAAATGTCAAAGGCTTCGGGTGCTGCTTACCTTCTTTTTTTGTTAATGTGCTTTTATTTATTGAAAAAAAATTACAATGAAGGTGCCTGTTTTGTCTATACTGTATACACTAATCATAACTTTCAAAAGTCCACACTCTTGTGAAGTTTTCTTAAATTGTGCACTTTAAAGAAAAAAAGTGCCAATAATGATTTGGCTTTTGTATTATTGTAAGTTGTATGTTATAATGTTAATGTGGATTTAGCGCTTTTACTTTACAGGTTGATTGAAATAGGATTGTTAGACGTGAATTTAAAAACAGGGCTCTGGATCGTGTTGCCCAGTTCCTTCACAATGTTGTCGACTTGCTGAGTTGCACTGATCTAACCATACCAAACTGTGTTGAATAATTTTATGTCTTTCTTGATCATACTGATTTTCTTATTCTGGTCACCGTCACTAATTCTCTGCTAGTGTTCTCTGTTATAGCCGAATCTTTTACCTAGAAAGACTCAGGGATTGGGTCATTGCTTATTTTATTTTTGTAAACAGATGGAAGGATTTTCAATGTCATATAATCAGTGGATGGCTGTTTTAACAACTTTGAAGTACAACTTTAGCAGAATATCTTTATAACCATCTAGAATATATCTTCTAATATACACAAGATTTAGCAAAAAGATAAAGGCTGGGTAAAATGTAGTTTTAAAATGTCCATATTCTGTTTCATATTTTCTCCACTTACCCTCCAAATATCGTTAATGCAAAAGGCCTCAGTAATGATTTGGTAGTTTTAATTTTGTGGTCATTGTTACCCTTCACTAAATTTATTTTCATTAAAAACTTATTAGAAGGTTTTACAACTTTTTTTAATATTATGTGAAATGTGGAACATTGCTGTCTTTTATATTAAAGTAATTAAAGAAAATGTATTCTGTGAATAAAATTATTTTGTCTCCTGCAATATGGCTCTATGAGTATTATTCCAGGGATTCCAATATTTCTTTAAGGGTAATAAAATGTTGACATTTATAATCTTTCAACTCGTGGGAATTTTCAGCGAAGGAAAATGCTTTGCAGGTGGGGGCAGATGCCCACGTGCTCACTGCCTTCGTGTTGTGACTCCACTGTCATTTCAGTGAGGCCTTCCCAGACTAACCTATTTAAAATTACAGTCCTCTTTCCCGCCACTGCATACGTAATCCATATCCTCTTCCCTGTTTTATTTTTTCCATGCCATTTGTCAATACTTAATATATATTTTATTTTAAAAATTTCTCTTTTCCAAGTAAGTCTTATGTGGGTGGGGACTTCTGTATGTTATGTTCACTGCCGTATCTATGTCCTCAGCTCCTAGAACTTGCATTTATCACAAAGGTTGCACTCAAATAATTGAGTGAATGCAAATATTCAAGTAGCTTCTTACAGCTTGCTTGCTTCTTGGCTTATATGTTTTATTTCACAAATAAAAAAGTACCCAATTTGTTTCTTGAGTAAGGAAGGAAGAAAGGAAAGACTTTTTGTGCCAAGTGACTTATATCTAGTAATAGAAAGATGGTATTTCAGACTCTTCACCAGCAATACATTGAATTGCATTTTTCCCCTAGTGTTACTAGGTTTTTGTGCCAATCAGACTTATTAAATAAATCCATACATTCTTTGTTCCCTGATAGCCGAGCACATGCAATCACTGTAAGTCCATCCGCCCTGTTACTTCCGGAATCATTGACACAAAGAAGAAAAGCCAAACCGATTGACTTCTGAATGTAATAACATTGTTACGTTGATGCTTTTTTAGTCATTCTCTAAAAATGTAGAAGAGGAGGAAGGAAACAAGCAACTTGCAGGGGTGGGGAACTGGCCTTGGGGCCACATGTGGCCTTCTGGATCCTTGAAGGTGGCCTTTTAATTGAATCCAAATTTTACGGAACAAATCCTTTTAATAAAGGGGTTCTGTGAAGTTTGGATTTGGTCAAGGGGCTGCACTTGGGTGTTTGGAGGGCCACATGTGGCTTTGAGGCCACAGATTCCCCACCCGGAAGCTCCTAATTTTTTTCCAGAAAAGCTGGGCAGAGAGGAAAAATGTATGTCCTGGAGTCCATTGTGTTAATAATACGGAAGTTTTTCATTGTAAGGTTAGCTTTTTGTATCTTTCATTGCAGAAAATAGCATAGAACACACCTCTCGTATCAGAAGCTTCATTTCTTGATATAATTGTTAGTTGCACAATATATTTTACTGCTCAACTCTTAACATCACCTGACTTCAGATTTGTTCATTGTTCTTACAGCTGCTTCCTTGTTAAATCATTCCTCCCACTTTAGACAGTAAATGCAAGAAATGAGAGGTGATGTGTCTCAAAACCTGTGGTTATACACAAGTACTCATTGTTAATGTATGTTGAATACATGTCGCTTTGAATTGGACTTCTGGAAAATGCCTATTGTGCTTTTAAAACAGCCTTTTTGGCAGCCCCAACTAAAAATGTGGCATGCTTTATAAATTAAAATGTTAGAAATGTGGGTATTTTTCCAAGAAATTATGACCCTAAAAATAATACATGAAACATGAAGAACACAAGCATAAATGTTGGCATATAGAAATGCTACTGATTTCTGTATGTTGATTTTTTTATCCTTTTGAAAAATTACAAAATATTAAGGGGGTACAAATGCTTTTGTAACGTGGAGCATTTTGTAATGCTTGAGTTACAGCTACAAGTGTGCCCATCACCCAAACAGTGTTCATTGTACCTGTTAGATAAGTTTTGTCCCCTCTCCTCCTCCCCCTCCCCCCTTCTTGATTCCCAATGACTTTTACTTCCCTCTGTGCACATGTGTGCCCATCGGTTAGTCCCAATTTATTAATATTAGTACACGTGGTATTTGTACATTCTTGAGATACTTCACTTAGGACAACGGTCTCCAATTCCTTCCAAATTGCTGCAGAAGGCATTAATTCCATCTTTTTTGTGGCTGAGCAGTACTCCATGGTGTGCGTGTGTGTGTGTGTGTGTGTGTGTGTGTGTATATATATATATACACATATATACACACACACCACATTTTGTTAACCCTCTTATGAATCAATGGGCACTTGGGTTGATTCCAGATCTTTAAAATTATGAATTGTGTTACAATAAACATTCGAGTACAGGTCTCTTTTTGATAAAATGACTCCTTTTCCTTTGGTAAATATCCAGTAGTGGGATTGCTGGATCAAATGGTAGGTCTACTTTTAGTTCTTTGAGAAATCTCCATATTGTTTTCCATAGGGGTTATACTAATTTGCAGTCCCACCAACAGTGTATAAGCGTTCCTTTCTCTCTGCATCCACGATGATGATCTATTATTTTTGGACTTTTTAATAAAAGCATTCTAACAGGGGTAAGGTGATAGCTCATTGTGGTTTTAATTTGCATTTCCCTGATGATTAGTGACATTGAGCATTTTTTCATATGGATGTTGGCCATTTGTCTATCTTCTTTTGAAAAACTTCTGTTCATGTTTTCCCCCAATTTTTAATGGGATTGTTTTTTTCTTGCTGATTTGCTTGAGCTCTTTGTAGATTCTGGATAATAACCCTTTATTGGATGTATAGCTTGCAAATATTTTCTCTTATTCTGTAGGTTGTCTCTATAGATTATTTCTGTAGCTGTGCAGAAGCTTTTTAATTTAATCAATTACTATCTATTTATTTTTGTTGTTACTGTGGGGTCTTAGTCATAAATTCTTTGTCTAGGCACTGATTTCTTATCTTGGCTATTGTGAATAATGTTGAAATGATCATGGGAGTGCACATATCTCTTTGACATACTGATTTTATTTCCTTTAAATATATACCCAGTAGTGGATTTGCTCAATTAAATGATAGTTATATTTTTAATTTTTTTTGTGGAACCTCCATACTGTTTTCCATAATGGCTGTACTAATTTACATTCTAAACAATAATGTAAGGGTTCTCTTTTGTCCATATCCTCATCAATCTTGTTTTCTTTTTTCTTTTTGATAAAAGCCATTTAAACAAGTATGAGGTGATATTTCATTGTGGCTTTAATTTCATTTCCCTGATTAATAATATAGAGCATTTACTCATATCTGTTGGTCATTTGTATGTCTTCTTTTGAAAAGACCTATTTGGGTCCTTTGTCCATTTTTTAATTGGGTTGTTTCCTTGCTATTGAGTTGCTTGAGTTCCTTATATATTTTGGATATTGGCTTCTTATCTGATGTATGGTTTATAAAAATTCTCCTGTTCTATAGATTGTCTTTTTACTCTGTTTCCTTTGCTGTGCAGTAGCTTTTTAGTTTGATGCAATCCCATTTGTCTATTTTTGCTTTCATTGCTTTTATTTTGGGGTCAAATCCAGAAAATCATTGCCCGGAGCAGTATCTTGGAGATTTTCTCCTATATTTTCTTCTAGTAGTTTTACGGTTTCAGGTTTCATGTTTATATCTCTAATCTATTTTGAGTTGATTTTTGTGAGATAAGGGTGAGATAAGGGTCTAATTTTATTCTTCCACATATGGGTATCCAGTTTTCCCAGTACCATCTATTCAAGGGATTATCCTTTTGTCATTATCCTGAATTGGACCTACTTTCTAGGTCATTTAAAAGTAAGAAGGGGGCGCTTCCTTTTTCCCTTAAAACTATTACCAAATTCAACTGAATTTCATGACAGCTCATTTTACTGTCAATTCAAAAATGAGGACAGACAGGGTAAGCTGTTAAGTTCAGAGAAATACAAGCTTGTAACTATAGCCTCTAAATATAGTGTTTATATTATCTCAAGGGTGCTGCTGCTTTCTGAATTTAATTGACAGTCAACTTGGCTTAAATTTAAAGGTCATTCAGAATGACAGGTGACAGGGGACAGAAGTAAGAGATTGAGAGTATCAATCAACAAGGCAGATTTGGAAAGATGACCACTAAGAGTAGAAAATGAGTGATTATTTTCTAAGCATATTTAATTCAATCTTACATAAGAATCATAATGAAATATTAGATATTTAAGGGCTACACTAAAAAATTCAAAATGTTCATGCTTATAACTCACTTCTTTCATCAAATGTATTAATGCACTAAATAATCATTGTATTTA